AACTGATTAGGAATTCTTCAGCGTTGAGATATTCCCCTTCTCCCACCCCAGCAATACTCGAGAGATACGAAAGATCTAGCAATGTGAAATCCATGAATACAGAGATTACTTGCCAAATACTGAGGAGTTTTAAGAAATCTTTCTCTTTCAAACTTGGTAGATGCCAAACTAAAAATTACTTATTTATGAGTGACTCACTGCATTTTTAGCCCACCTTTCCTTCAAAGAGCTGAAGGTGACATGCATTTTTCTCTCCTTCTTCATTTTATCCTCAAATTGAGAGAGTGAGTGCATGACTGGCCTAATAAGCTTCATGGCTTATTTCGGATTTGAACCCAGATCTCTCAAGTCTGCTCCCCCACACTGATTCTATTACTCTATGACACTAGACTGGTATAACATGAGGTTATTGAACTTTTTGACTGCAATCCATTCTACACACACCAACCAGAGAGAAAACTGCATTAAACAGAAAGGGGCTCAGGTCTGAATAAGCACCTTCCAATTATAGGACTCTCGCTATTCTGTTATTAAAATGAATGGAACACAGAAAAGAAAATTAAAGTAATTTTCAGCGCTCACTGTGTCAGTTATAAAAGAAAGGTTTTTCCTACCTTTGTTTTTAAAATAAGTCTTTCCCTTGAACTTGTTTCCAAATCACAAATATGTTATCAAGGCAGGTTTTCGATAGCGCTCAGTAGAAGTGGTTAGAAAAAGTAATAATGCTAAGAAGCTCTAAGTATCGGCATTGTTAGCAATATAAATTACTCACGTTGGTTTATTAGCTCAGAGAGATACACACATTGTGCCTGCTGAGATTTGTAACAAAATATCAATAGAAAACAAAGCACTATGGCTTCACTCCCCTAAAAGAAACAAAACTACCAGTTGGTTCAGCACAAGCAGAGCTAATTCCTTAACCTTCCTCAGCAAGTTCTCATTCTTAAGGGGCAACTGCAGGTTGAGTCATGTCATCTAAACAGCCAATTACTATTTGGGTTGAGTAAAAATTGCCCTCAGGTGATCGGGCAACGAAACACTTCTAAACGGGAAGAGAGCTGGGATGTGTGTGCTTAATTCTTTGGGGCTTTCAGTGTACGACAGCTTTATTTATTTAAAGCATACATGTGCCTCTATTAAGAGTAAACACTCTCTCAAGGTTGCTTCTGTCATAAAACACTAGCAGGCAGCATGTGATATTTTCCACAACTCTCATAGCAGTCTCACCACCAAAGGTCAGAGCTTAGAGCCACTCTTGGTTCCTGACCGTAGACCTAGGAGCCCAAAGCTCATCATAACATAGGATTCGGGACAGCACCTCCCTCCTACAAAAACACGATATATCATGATGTTGAAAACCAGATATCTCCAGCTAAACACAGTGATATATAGTGGTACCTCGGGTTACAGACGCTTCAGGTTACAGACTCCGCTAACCCAGAAATATTACCTCAGGTTAAGAACTTTGCTTCAGGATGAGAACAGAAATCGCGCCGCCGCGGCACGGCGCCAACAGGAGGCTCCATTAGCTAAAGTGGTACCCCAGGTTAGGAACGGACCTCTAGAACGAATTAAGTTCTTAACCTGAGGTACCACTGTACTGATATATCATGATGTCTGAAATAAGGATGGAGCTATGTAGAGACGGGAGATGGGAGGCGGGTGGCACTGTGGGTTAAACCACAGAGTCTAGGACTTGCCGATCAGAAGGTCGGCAGTTCGAATCCCCACGACGGGGTGAACTCCCGTTGTTCGGTCCCTGCTCCTGCCAACCTAGCAATTCAAAAGCCCGTCAAAGTTCAAGTAGATAAATAGGTACCGCCCCGGCGGGAAGGTAGACGCCGTTTCTGTGTACTTCTCTGGTTCGCCAGAAGCGGCTTAGTCATGCTGGCCACATGACCTGGAAGCTGTACGCCGGCTCCCTCGGCCAATAAAGCGAGATGAGCGCCACAACCCGAGTCGGCCACAACTGGACCTAATGGTCAGGGGTTCCTTTACCTTTACCTATGTAGAGACACTGGCTGGATTCATGGTTTTTCCTGCAACATGATTTTTGCCAGCACCTGCTCTTGTGATTTGTTGCTCCCCGAAGGAGGCAGGCAGAGCTGAGCCAGCAGAGTTAATAGAGGCTACAGAAGTCCAGAGAAGCAATGGCTGGCTTTGTGGTTATTCCCACATTGTGATTTTTTGCGTAGCACACTGACACACATCATGATTTGAAATACATTGCCAGGTCAAAAATTATGGAAAACGATATAATAACATGGACTTCAAATTGCTATGGGACGATATATCTCTATCTCGCCCAGCCCTGCTATAATCCTTTAGATGATACCTCCCTTGCTGTAGGGATATCGCGGAGTGGACAGTGAGGTCCGGAGGGAGCACACTCTCCACCAGCAGGCAGTCACAGTCTGCCTGCACGCGTGACCCTGGGGTGCAGGGAAACCCCCCCCCCTCAGACAAGCCATGGCTGTCGGAACATCGTCCCCTACATCTGACCTTTTGCGGTCTCAGCAGTCAGCGGTGTCCTGTCTGTAACCTTTGTCCCTGAGACCTTTTGTCTCCTTCGTCATACACTCCTTCATCATACACTGTGCAAGGGGAAAATGACGCTGTGGAAACAGGTGCCAAAATAGCTTTGTACCACCCCACAATCTCGGGACGGAAGATGTGTAAAGGTCACAGCCCAAAAATGGATCTGCCTGGCTTGCATATTTGTCTGAATAAAAGGAGGCTCCACAGGAATGGCAGCAGCTCGCTTCAGCCCACCTGTGCGCAGCTCACATGATGATCAACACCTGTCTTGGGACTTCACTTCACCTTGCCTCTGCTCTTCCAACTCCAGCCTCCAGCAACATGCCTGGGCTTGATTCCAAACCACTAGAGCGGGTAGGGAGTCAGAATGGACAATACTGGACTGGATGGGAAGATAGTCTGACTCTGAACTGAGCTAAAGAATCTTCCTCTGTTCCTCTCAGAACTAGAGCACTAGTTAGAGTGAGGTGGTTGCCTCAGGCAGCTGATTCTGCTTTTATGACAGGACATCAAATCATCAGTTATATTATCATATGTGTATCGTATACGTAATGTCGTATCGTATACATAATGCCATATTGTGTTTTACTTTGTTGGAAGCCGCCCACAGTATCTGGGGGTACCCAGTCAGATGGACGGCATATACATAATAAGTAAAATGTATTTTAATGCCAGGGAGGGGAAAACAGGCTTGTAGGATTTTTTGCCTCAGGTATCAGATTGGAGAAGGGTCACAGGTCAGTGAGAGAGAATATGTTTTACACAGAGAAGCATCCTCTGTTGTAATCCTCACAGAACTCTAGCCCAATGGTTAATTTGATTTGAACTGATTTTATAATGAATTGATTTTAGAATGCTGTATTATTTTATTGTTGTTAGCCGCTCTGAGCCCAGCTTCAGCTGGGGAGCGCGGGTTATAAATAAAAGTTTTATTATTATTATTATTATTATTATTATTAAGATTCAACCCCCAGCATCTCCCTGGCAGGAGACCGCCTCAAATTCTGACCAATCTAGCTCAGTATTTTCTGCATTGGTGGGGAGCAGGCCTCCAGAATTTGAGGCAGTCCTGCCAAGCTTCCTGTGTAACAAAATAACATAGTTGGACTGGCATGCTAGGCACCTGACAAGTGGCGACATGTCAAGGGTTGACACTGATGTTCTGTCACACCACACCTTGCTGGCATGGATGAAAATTTAGTATGGCATGTCAGTATAAGTGACCAAAAAGTTGCAGTTTCATAACACAAGAAGCAATGCAGTGTAAAATAAGCCTTGAAAACCGGGGCAGACGAGCTGGCATTGTAATGAGGAAAACTAGCACAATAATCCTCACATCAAATGCAGCCACTGGAACTTCGTTCCAAGTTTATCTTCTGCATGCAAACCTACTTCACTAGCACCAGACTTCATTCAGGAGATTCAGTGCTAGCGATGGCCACATGAACACAAACATATTCCATGTATCCAACGTAAGCATGTTGCAATGAATTCCACTTTGCCTTCTCCAACTTCATTTCCTTTTGAGGGGTTTCAGTTTTGCTTTTCCTGAGCGGGAAACCTGTAATCTGGATTCAAAATGTTATTCAGGTTTTAATGAGACATCCATGTACTTTTTGAAACTCATGGAAGACTTCATAACAAGCAAGGAAAAGAGCTCATATTTGTGTGTTTGCCGTGCAGCGAAATTCCAGTCATTGTTGGGAGTTTTTGCTCGTATTTTGTTTTACATTTTTAGTGCCACTGGGACTTTTACTAAATTAAAAGGTTTTCTAAAAATTAATTTCTCTCTTGCTAGAGCCCATAATGAATTTCACATCTGAGTTAGTACAATTATAAACATCAAAGAAAGGTCAAAGCCCACAAGTGTTCCTAATGGTACTAAAACTCTCATCTAGGAAGTGAGACTCTCGTTTTATGAACTTGCATTTATTACGCTGCCATCCTATCTACTGTATATCTCTTTCAACATCTCTCCCCACTACCAATATATTTTCACAACTGTAGACAAATGTCAAGCAACGTTATGTATTTTCTTTGGATCACTGAAATCTGCATCATATTGTAATTAATCACGTTTAAAACTATTATTTAATAATCCCTAACTGTAAAATTATTCCTACAAATTTGTAAGGGCTACATTACACTTATATTAAAAATATATTAAAAATTGCGGTGTGCCTTGAATACAGTGCTGTCCCTCTCCTAAACTTGTGTAGCATTTCTTTCTTGTTGATTCTATACAATAAAGAAGCATGCTAACCTTGGAGTAAACGCCGCTGAATCCAGTGAGACATACCTCTGAGCAAATACCCTGGGGACAGTGCTCTCAGTGATGTACATGCAGCTACAGGGATCCTATGCGAGAACTGTAATCAAATTCCACATAAAGCAAACTTTACCAATTTAAGAGGACTCTGCGGTACTGTAACAGCTCTAACTAAGTCAAAATAAATAAAAATTGTCCAGTAGCACCTTCGAGACCAACTAAGTTTGTTCTGGGTATAAGCTTTCGTGTGCACTTATACCCAGAACAAACTGAGTTGATCTCTAAGGTGCTACTGGACAATTTTTTAATTTATTTTAACTGCGTCAGACCAACACGGCTACCTACCTGAAGCTCTAACCCAGGCACATGAAGGCCTGCTCTTACTTAATCTTTTTCAAATTGCTGTCACTTCTAAACTCTCAAAAGGCTTTGTAAGCCCAACCAACAGTGCAAAGCTACTTGTGATAAGGTAAACTTATGTGTGTACATATTGGAGCTACCCAGATCAGAACGAGCGTTTTTAGAAAATAAGTCATGCATGTCTGCAACATTTCTGGATATTATGTTTGCATGAAAACTTACCTTTCCAGATAAATTGTCTAGTATGTGGTTTTGGAAGGTATTTTCAGAAGCAGAAGGTGGGATTCACCAAATAAGCCTCATCAGTACGAGGACTTTTGCCTGTGTGATAGGGTGTACAACCTCTCCTCCTCCTCCTGCACCCCCTGAAATTGGCTTTGAGTGGTTTGGGAGAATCCCTAGAACAGTTCACGTTGGCAGGAGAGGGGGGATCATTCCATCTGGCAAGCTGCAATGCTTGAACAGGCAGAAAGTTCATCACAGTGCAACACTGAATTCCATTCACTGTATTTTAAGGTCACGATCCAATGCAGAACTCCAAAGCAGAGCTCTTTTTGATGTGGTGAAGAGACAAGCTACTGTTCAGTTAAAATAGGCTAAGAGTAAGCGAGTCTCTTTGACAATGGAATTTTCTACAGTGAAACCATTTTCTCTCTTGCGGTCTGATAGCCTTTCTTTTGGAATACAGCAGAATGGTCCTTCACTGTACGAGTTGTAAGCCAAGCATCGCCCAGTTTATGCCACACCTCAGCCATGAATTCAGAAAGTGGCCTTAAGCGAGCCATCGCCTGATCCTTACATGGCTTGATCACTTTCTAAGTGTTATTCAATATTGTTAAATATCTAGCATATGTTAAGAAAGCCACTAAGAGCATCAGAGTAGATTTTTGTCATCTTGCAGAACAGAAGCCATGAGCACAATTGTATCTGCCACTCCTAATTGAATGCCGAATGATTTCAATGAATAACAAATAAATTTTTGGACGGTTAGTAAGATATTCATAGATAAATTGCAAGCAAAGTGATTAGAAGTACCGAATTATTCACTGCAAATTACTTGCCCAGCTCTTGTTAATTATCTGCAAGTAGCAATTCCTGCTCTATCATTTGCAGTCTCCTAAAAGGGAAATTAGAATCCAATGAATGGGCAAGAGGGAAAGCCAGCAAGTTTAAAAGCCTCTCAAGAAAATCAAGATATTATGAAATAAATAACAGCCTAAAACATTCAGATAGCTTTGACAAGGGCTTGATTTCTAAGGTGTAAAGTTCCCGGATATGCCTTTCAATAATTTGTCAGTGGTAATGTGTGTGTTCATATAAAATAATGATTTATTGTTGTGTTGAATAGTATGGAACACTTTTTGCTACTTTGGTTTATAGTTGACATATGAATTCCATCTACTACCTTTGCCATGAGTGTATATATCTGAATCAGTAGTGTAAAAAAGATGGCAGTGAATTACAATGTGCGTATCTATGTATAAAATACGATGGTTGATATAATATGGATGATACGTGTAGGATATTAGATCTCCTCCCATCTCCATCTCCATATTTTACAATACAACGCTTCTTTAGTTTTTCTTTCTTTTTGGTAATGCATATAGCTATCCATCCATCTATCATTCTATCTGCAGAATTGGGGGGGGGGGCAGTTAGGTGATTTGGGTACTGTGCCATGTAGGAATTAGAAACTGATGTTTCCCTGGGTAAGGTTAGAATAGTAAAAGGTAAAGGTAAAGGGACCCCTGACCATTAGGTCCAGTTGTGACCGACTCTGGGGTTGCCGCGCTCATCTCGCTTTATTGGCCGAGGGAGCCGGCGTACAGCTTCCGGGTCATGTGGCCAGCATGACTAAGCTGCTTCTGGCGAGCCTGAGCAGTGCATGGAAACGCCGTTTACCTTCCCGCCGGAGCGGTACCTATTTATCTACTTGCACTGGCGTACTTTCAAACTGCTAGGTTGGCAGGAGCAGGGACAGAAGAACGGGAGCTCACCCCGTTGCAGGGATTTGAACCGCTGACCTTCTGATCAGCAAGCCCTAGGCTCTGTGGTTTAGTCCACAGCGCCACCCGCGTCCCTCCCAAGGTTAGAATAAGAGAAGGCAAATTACTCTTGATGTTACAAACATCTAACACACCTCCCCTACCTATTCCGTTTTGTAGAGAGCGTCCCCAAAAGGTCGCCATGTCTGAGACTTTTATCATCATATCTCTGATTAGATGTGGTGATTGTATATGCAAGCTGCTCTGCAATTAAGGACATGCAATGGGCAACAATGATTCTGAGCTACATTCTGCTGGCTATAGAGATGTCTGTGCTTTTTAATGGGGAACGTGAGTGGCAGCTAAACCAATTCTGGATAATATTATTCAGCAGCCATTTGAATCTGCAAGTCTCATGTTCTATTCAGCACCATTTGGGATCGAGGACAGAGCTGAAACACATGCAGAGGAGGATTATAGGGTGCGACTCTTGCTGAGTCATAACCATGCCAGATTGCAAGTCTTTCTCCAAAGGTTTCTTTTCTTTTCTTTTTTTAAAAGAACCTCACTGCATATAGAAATCTGGAAATTAGGACCCTCCTCCCAGATGTGTCCCCCCCCATAGGCATTTGAGGGGGTGTTGAAACATGTTATTCCTGTGCTTAGACCACAATCTGAAATGACTGGTGGGATTTTAGAGATTTTGCAATCTGCATCCCTACCACCACCACCCTAAAATACTGGGCAGCTAAAAAAGCCGGTGTCTGCTCATTGTCAGCAGCTCAGACTTTAGGATGATAGGACAATCACTGACTCACCAAGATTTCTTGCCTCAATAAAACTGGCACTCAAAAGAGACTGACTACCAGGGAAGGAAAACAATAAAACCACAGACAGGCTGGCTGACAAAAAGAAAGTTTGCTTGCATGAGAGATGAACTTCAGACAACTGATGCCCTAAAACGGGGGGAAGGGAGTGACGAGATTTGGGAGTGCAGGGGTGTGCGAAAGGGGTGAAAGATGTGAAATCCAGGTGTCTGATAGTGGGATAGAACAGTGAAGAACAGAGAGATCTGAGCCTCAACTGTGAAAGGTCCTCACATCAAGGCATCCTGGTGAAGGAGATGTAAGTTGAGGATCCCACCAGAGCTTCAGAGAAGTTTCACTTTGACACTCAAAGAGATAATAAAGCAAAAGCAAGAGATCCTCCCTCCCTGAGCAAATGTAAAACTGACAGTGCAAATAAAATGTAAAAAGAAGTGCAAATAAACTGATTGTTTTGGAAATTTAAGGTACAGTGGTACCTCAGGTTAAGAACGTAATTCGTTCTGGAGGTCCATTCTTAACCTGAAACTGTTCTTAATGTGAGGTACCACTTTAGCTAATGGGGCCTCCCGCTGCCGTCACGCAATTTCTGTTCTCATCCTGAAGCAAAATTCTTAACCCGAGGTACTATTTCTGTCTGTAACCACTGTCTGTAACCTGAAGCGCCTATAACCACTGTATATGAAGGGACATTGGTTCAGACCCATACTAGAGCTCTTGGGTGAGGGGGAAGGCTCTCCTCTCTCTACAGAACTGACCATCCCATGGTGAGACCCTTCAAGGTTGGTGCCATGAATTTTTATTTGATTCTTCCCCGCCCCCCCAATGTCTTTTGCTATTACCTTTTAAAGTCATAGTCTGGCCTTTTGAAAACACTTAGAACCTTAATAATTAGCAAACACTTGATGTCCTTCACTTTGCTGTTGCTAAAGCAACCACCGGCTGTCTTGTGTTAGGAGAGGACAACAGTGACAGCCAGCTGGGTGGCATTTGGGCAGCTGTGACAAAACTAGAGAATTAAATCTTCCCAAATAATCCCGGGCTGCTTCAGACTTGAGGCTTGGGCTGTGAAAGGATTTCATTCCCACAAAGCCCATAGAGGGATCCTGGGCAGCAGAAGGAACTTCTGGATGGGTGGCCGATAGGAGGATCGTTCCAGGGCAGTCCCTGTCACTCTCTCGATACTGTCAGACTCCAGCTCCCATCAGCCTTTGCCATGATGGAATGATAGGTGCATACCCTCCAACATTTCTCTGATGGAAATAGGAGCACCCCATTCTATAAATATAATTTTACTATTTATAACCCACACATCTTACTGGGTTGCCCCAGCCACTCTGGGGTAGCTTCAAACATATATAAAAACATAGAACAAGGATTATGTTTAAAAAAGCTGAAGCTATATAGTTTAATATTTCATTAAATTAAAGATTGGGTTTAAAAAAGTGGAAAAGAAACTGCTGGACAAATAATGTAGATTGGAATACAAAAGAGGGAGGTATGAGGAAGTCCAGAAAATAAGTAATTCAAAATTGGGAATGTAAAAGAGAGTTTGTTTTTAATTGTTATGTTGTGTGTTTCTATTGTTAAATTTTGTATTTTTTGTGTGTGTGTTGCTTTTTCTTTTTTCTTTGTTTAAAACTTTAATAAAAAATATTTAAAAAAAAAACACAACAACAACAAACATATATAAAAACATAATACAACATTAAACTTTTTTTTTAACTTCCCTATACAGCTTGGGGGTTGGCTAACTCCAAACCCTCCAACATTTCTCCAATAGGGGCATCCTACCATACCCTCCAAGATTCCTCTAATGAAAATAGGAACATCCTAGGGGAAAGTGAGCCACTCCAGGATCAAATCAGAAACTGGGATGGCCTCTCTAAATCAGGGTCCTCCCTGGAAAATAGGGACACTTGGAGAGTCGGTGGGAGCTACAGGCTGACCCTATGTTGGACTACAACTCCCATCATTCCTAGCTAGCAAGGCCAGAGCTCAGGGATGATGGGAGTTGTAGTTCAACAACATCTGGGGACCCACAGGTTGAGAACCGCTGTTCTAGAGTGTAGTGGAAGGGAAATAAAAGGCAGTTTGTACAAGTACTGTACATATAGCAAGCAGGATCTC